TTTCGGTAGCAGTGATGTTTATTTTTATGATATGCGATTGCTAGCCTCACACTCAATCTTCCCTTCTTTAGCAGTCATATTTTGGCTTATCCAGGTCAAGGAGTGCATCGGTCGCGGATCAAACTGTGGACAACATGATTGGTTAGCGAGCATTTTAACTCTGTGCCACCACCGCACACATAGTTTGGATGTAAATGACTGAATTTCAGGTTTCTTAGCTATTCGGCATGCCAGTATAGAACTTTTGATATACATGACTACGTTCAACAATGCTGAAGAAGGCAACAGACAAGGTCGGCCTGCAAAATTTGGGCTACCGATATCATGCTGAAAATTCCATACTTGTACTGAAACTACGGTGTGGCATCAAGCTGTAACCAAAAGAAATTATTAAAAAAAAACATTGGGGAGTTTCATCGACTAAAAATCTGTTCAAGACTTCACAAGAATTTGGCAGCAAACAGAAGATTACACATAGATACTAGTGAGCTAGGTTTTTCGTATATTTTTTAAATCTCTTTGTTTGAAAAACTGCATGAAAATATGCTTGTTCCAGTCTACATTAAGAAATTCAAAAATAACGGAAAACTTACTTGTATTATATGTTAATATACGCATCACCGTAAGCGGAACCTTTTCTTATTTTTTCAGGGAAAGTTTTCGCCAAAATTCGAGTCCTCTGTTTGGGACAAATTCCTAGAAAAGTCTTTGCCGCATGTCTACGTCTCATCTCCTCACACATGTTCTTGTCCACGAAAACACCAAAAACAAGATCCTGCTGGTGGTAGTTTCAGTGTGCAGTAAGCAATTTAATTTTTTCTGGGAAGCTAAGTATATAGGTCGTACTAGGACAGCAGTATCCAAACATTCCTCTCAACACTTACTAGGGATTGTTGTCAAAAGGTGAACGTAGAACAGTAAACCACTTTATTCTGGAGCATACTGTTTATTACTTCTTGTCTGGCAGCATATGTAGAGGAGTATTTCAGAGTAACATGTAAAGTATGACCAAGTCATTTGAAAGGATTTTGCCCACATTTTTCTTGTGTAGCCAAAGATTTAGCAATTCTTAGGAAAAACTGAACTTACAGTTTAGAAACTTTTTATCCGGCCTCTTTTACTATTATGACCATGGCAATAAGCATAAATACTGTTTCTTATCAACCATTTCCAAACGAGTTTTCACTGCTCAACTAATTGTTTTTGTCAAGCGTCTTGTGTACGTAGGATTATATTAAATTTGTTAAATCGTAGTTAGTAATCATACACCCTGATTTACTTTGTTACTAACTGATAATAACCTCTGACTTATGTTGCGAATCTAAATTGTATATAAAAAACCCCTGAATGGCTGAAGAGCTTTGGAATGAATTTACATGAACAAATTACTATGCTGACGCTTCTGTCACCAATTACACAGGGGGATTTGTAAAACTGAACAAAGTATTTCTGATGATGATATTTAGACCATTTAGACCAGATTAAGGTTACCTAATTATCATGTAAGTTTGAAGTGAATACAGGAGTGAGACAAGGTTGACTATTGTTATCAATGATTTTATTAATTGTGGTGCACTGGATCATGAGCCAAAAGGTGTTCAGCGAGTGAAAAGATAGAGATACGCTGGACCACTGATAAGAAGAGTCTAGAAGATCTGGATTTCACGTATGGATGACTTATGTTTAATGTCACGCAAACTCGAGGGCTTGCGGGCGAAATCCAATAAACTGCCTGAAGGAGCAGGCAGGCAGCGAAGACAGGAATGTAAGTAAACATTGAGAGGACGTAGGTGATGAAGGTGACCAACAAGCCAACAGTAACAACAACAATAACAACGAGCCTCAACCTCCATCAATGGGAGAGACTTGATAGAGGTCACTTCCCTCACTTCTTTGGCTAGAGAGCATGGTTTCAATCTTATGCAGCTGGAACGGAGGAAAATGTCAGAATCAGCCAGACAGAATCGAAAAGGCAAGATACGCCCTCATCAACCTGAAACCAGCTTGAAAATCTTCTGCACTTCGCAGCATAAAGAACATGAGCCAGATTTTCAACATACATGTAAAGTCAGTCAGTCAGCAGTTCTATACGGGTCAGAAACTTACATTGTTTGTCACGGGAAGCATTTCCAACAGGGTGCAGACTTTCATCGACAGCTGCACCCTTCGCTGGCAGGCTCCATACTGAAGATCAAATGACAAGCCAGTAAGAATAAGTCACAAGACATTCTGGTAGGCAAACAACCATATGCCGATCACTCAGCAAATATGTAGGAAAAAATGGAGATGGATGGGTGGAGTATACATTAAGGAAACCGTTGAATAACATAGTTCGCCAGGACCTGTAGTGGAATCCTTATGGAAGGCAACGAGTAGGTCGTCAGTGTGCAAGTGACATGGAGGAGATCATGTGAAGAGGAGATGAAAACCTTGAACTCAGCTGAAAAGGACGGCAGAAAATAGAACAAAGTGGAGACGGGTTGTTATACTAGTTATGTATTGGTTTAACTTTACGAGGTTATTACCATTAGTGTATGATGAATTTTTGAATCATAAAAGACTGACTTTTCCTACCAGCTGGGATCAGTTCGTATGTTTTCTGTATCACTCGGCCTCTGAAGGTCAGGAAGGACTGAAAACAGGTAGTACTTTGCAGTCTTCGGGAGAGTCACTTATCACCTATACCCAATCCATTCGCAAAATATGTGATTAGTGTCCGTAATATGAGCCTGTATCAGCAACCTTATTTATGTATATCAGTTTTGGTGAGGGAGATGGGATAATTCAACCACTTCTAATTCAGTAATTCATGACAAATTTTGTTGTCGCTGTAACAATATCTTCACTTGCTTGCTTACTATCCTAGGCAATATCTGCATTCATAATGTTTTTACGGTTCTATTCCTTTTTTCTCTCTGTTTCTATGCGGAAAGTCTTTTTGACGATTCCTGGTATGCTTGCCTTCGTCAGCCTTTCGCTTTCGATTTAAGTTTCATCCTATCCAAGACTTTTCGATTGGCTGTGGGCTAGTTACAGTGTGTCGTTCTCAAGTGTGATATATAACATAGTCACTCTGAAACTGGATGTCACCTTCAACTCTTTCACCTACAGTGCTTGCACATGGATCCAAGCAGTTGACAGACATGTCTGAACAGGACTCAAGAAAGCTTAGCTGTCAATGTTTACTGCATCTCAGAGACCCACGGACATGATCACAAAGAGTTTCTACGAATATCTTCGCCATCCGCAAGTTCACCCATCGTGTACTAGATGTGCTTTTAACTGACTCTAGAGTTATAAATTAGATGCTTACCTTTTGTCCCACTGGTTGTACGTGCTTTACAGATCATAAATTATCAGTAACACATTAATTGAGCCTAAGACTAACGACTTGTTCTCATTAAGGAATTTGGTAATTTGATTCAATACTAGAAGGTAACTAGTGTCACGTATCCAGTCCTTTGTCTGATGTCGATTAAACTCAGTCAAGATTTTATTGTAGTCACCATGCTTTCTGAGCCGTCTTCTCGGTTCACTCTGAGTGGTTATAATTCGATGGTTGATGGAATGCGTAACAAAGCTTTGGACCTAGAATGTACGCCTATTGGCACTCGTTATTTAGTAAGATATGCCTGAAATCAAGAAGCAAATCATGTCTTTTCTGAGATTAAAACCTGAGTCACCCCCTTAAGCAGTCACTGGCGTTATTACTGAGCTGTTTAGGCTCTCAGTTGACCTCGTGTAGGAATGAACTGCCCACTAAGATTGCACAGTGGACCAGCTGAGAGCCCGAATAGCTCACTGACAACGCTTCTGACTGCTTCAGTGCATCAGTCAGGTTCTGGCCTCAGCAAGGGTATTTGTTTCTACAAGATTTCAGATACATCATACCGACTGGTGAGTTCCATCAAGAACGAAACCCAACTTCGAAGCTTTCTCGAAATTTGCTACAATCAACTTGTAATAATCAATCGTAGCTTACTTGAAAACTAATATCTATGAATAAGAAACACCCAGACGAAAGGATTGTTTCATTAACTACAAGTGGACTAACTTACTCTTGATAGATATTGTGACGTTTTGTTTATCAGTGAGTGTTATTTTCTAATGACGATTCAAGATTTTGAATATTATTTTTCAAACAAAAACAAATTAATATTTCAAGTGTTGGCTTGCAGGGATTTGATTGGTTTCAGGATTTCATCATAAATTGACGTCGGTTAGAGAACTACTGCAAAACATGGGAGGACTGGATGGCTGCTTCATCTTAGTTTGGAAAAAATAGGGTATAGAAGGTTGGGTGTGAGGAAAAATACTCGCCGCGGAAGATATTCGCTTATGGTCGCGGTATATCATGAACTGGTATAAGGTGGAGTTCATGGGCTGACCACTGAATTAAATCTCATTGGCCTAATGGTCTACGAGAGAGCTCGTCTTGTATCTTGAAGGTTCTGGATTCAAACCCTAGTGGTGGGTGCGTACTGTGAAGAGTCTCAAAATATAACGAAACGGTTGGCTACCCAGTACTCCCAGATTTTCTAATAGTTTTCTAAATGATGTAAGCTCATGATGAAATCATGTAACCATTTAAATCTTCTGTGTAAAAGTTCTGTAAGTGCAATGTCTGAACAAGATCTGCTGATTCTAAAATCCATTTTCAACTGGGATGATGTCATTTTTGTAAATAGATTAAAACTTCTTTGTACATCAGTTTAATCACAGATGACAAGACGCCGACAAAATGATACCAATCAGTGGCACTGTCTTGTTCCAGACTCACTGTTGTGTTTGGTCTTTCTCTAATTCATAATGTGGAATAAGTGTAGCACTGCCGTTGTTACTTGTCATATTCTGTTATGCTGCCGCAGCTTTAGTCTTATATTCATAAACAACAGTTTCCGTCTTAAACAAAACAGGCCGCATTTCAAATTTATATGAATTTCTAATTACAAAATAGTGATTACATCATTATATGCACGATATAAAGATAAATATCTTAATTACATAATTACATCTGTTAATAACTTTGTCGTAGAAAAACACAATATAACTATTGTCGACAAGTACATCTTTATGAAAGAATCACAGTCTGATTTAAGATTATGGGCGGAATTGGTTGATATTGTTCGTAGCAATTTAGAATTTGGATGAATATAGCTGTATACATGCCGAGTATTATCTGATTTAGTTCCCTTCAAATGAATTGAAGCTTTTGACATATCTACAAACAAAACGAACAACAGGGGAATGAAAATAATATTTACAGCATTAAGTTAGAAAGCTATTGAATGGGGTTTAAAATTGCTATCAGTGAAGACCACTCTCTATCATTTTCTTCAAACAACAAATGAAATAAAAATTATGAAAAACCTTCCTGTTCAATCAATTTCTTTATTGCATTTTTATTTAGTAATCTCAATGTTGTGGCATAACCATTGATCTGAACATTCAAGAGATCCATTATTATTATTGTTATTGTCCTTTGTTCCGAGTCGAACATACGCTTTAACAGCACATCTCCATTTTGTTCTATTTTCTGCAATCCTCTTTAGCTGGGCCACGGTTGCCCATAGTGTCTGATCTCCTCATAGCACGATCTCCTCCATGTCAACCTCAGAAGCTTCGCTCGTTATTTCTCACTCAGATTCTACTCCACGTGAAGCCATTCCATGCTCTCCTCAGCATGTCTCAAAACCACTTCTTCCAAAAACCTATGCCTAGTAATTATACTTGTAATTACTTTCTGTTTCTGCTTCGCTTGATGCCATCTCCCTTATATTTGCATGTCTTATTTCGTCATCATCATTAGTATGTGTCTTTGGTTTTGTATGATTCCCATTTTTTGAATACTTCAGTCTGGTGTTGTGTAATAGTGAGCTACCGATAATAATGTGTTGTTTTACGCCTGCATCTTTGTTTGAAGGAAATCAGGGTTAAGTGTAGTGTTTGAACAAATGTCTTCTGTATGCTGAGTTCAACACTTAGCAAGTGAATTGCCATTGCTATTGCAGTTTGAAGAGGTCTGATTCGAACACTTTTAAGAAGACTGATTCGTATTCTGTAGACGACTTTAATGTTTGTTTGAGGTGTAGGTTGATGTCCGGAATCTATCAGATGTTCTAAGATAGAGCTGCGAGGGCATCGTTTTTCCCCTTTGAAAAACCATGCTGGTAAATGTTCGGTGATAAGTTTGGAAAGCGAACCCTGGGTAGGGCCGATATACCTGGCTCCACACGAGCAGGTGAATTGGTAGATACACGTTGATGAGGCTAACAGTGGTTGCTTATCCTTCACGTTCACACGAATCATTGGTTTCGTGGAGAAGGTCACTCGTAGTTCAGCTGCGGTAGAGGTTTACTTAAGTGCACGGAACAGTCCATTTTTCAGTGTTTCCGCAGATAAATCTCCATTGAATTGAGGGATCATGTAGAGGAGTTTTTTCGGGATACTAAGCGTGGACAGCTTTTGCGGTCTATGATTCACGGATTTGGCAATAAATAGTTCTGGATAACAATTCTTGATGAGGATTCTCTTGAGAGTGTCCACCTCGTCTTCTATGGTGTCCGGCGTGCAAACTCTGCAAATCATGGTTGAATGGATAAGTGACTGCTTGATCTAAGACTGCTTGTATCTCACGGTTTTCTTTTTGTTTGATTCCCGATGAAGGAGTTTTTGTTGCACCTCGTCAAGAATACGCTTAGTGTAGCTGAGAAATATATGGATTGTATAGTAACCAGAAGACATTATTGAATGCCACAGATTCCATCATTCTTCACTGTACTTTGATACTTTTGGAATATAGTTGCTGACTGTATATTATCCGTGGTTGTCTTGCGAACAATACGCAAGAATATGCCAATCAAGTTAACAGCGTTCGGACTAAAATATTTAGGCTTTCTTCATACCAATACAACAAAATCTTTTATATTGATAATACGTAGTAGATACGATTATTGAAGGCGAATACTTATCAGGGCTTGACAGCTTTAAGCTTGCTTTTGAAAAACCAAAAGTGTAAACATGTGTTTATCTAACTTTCTCACTGCAACATTTAAAAACAACAGAACTCACCCAGTATTTCCACTTCAATTCTGCCGTAAGTAACTTTCGATGTAGGTATAATAGATGACAAAGGAGGTAGACGAAGATCGTTTGAAATTAGAGACTTGGAAGGATGACCATTACTCGACTGATCTCTGGTATGGAGATTCTTATGTTCTGGTGGCAAATGCATATATTTAGACAAATCATGTCTTGCTTTTTCAACAGACTTGTAACGTTCTAAACAAATCCACTGACCTGTGTCTGTTTCTCTAGCTTGTTTTATATACAATCGACTTTCTAGGGTATTTGAATTAAGCCATCTTTGTTCTATGTATAGACTTCCAGAATTATATGGATCTGATTTCCTTCGAATACCTTTATGATACCATTCGAGTATTATTTCGTAGTCTGATATTTGAAATGATGTAGGGAATTTTGCATAGCATTTCAGCTCCAATGGTCTGCCATAGTATGCCACTTTCGGACCAGTGACAGTGAGTGCTGTACAAAAGAAATTAATGATATTTAAAATTTCAATTCAAAGTAATTAGTATATTGACATAAATAAGCGATAAAGAATAAATCCAGAGTGCACCAACTGTGGCTACTCACCTAGCTTGACTGATAAAATTCAGTCATCACAGAGACTGTGAAGCATATAATTGACAATGATTACTCCATACGATACGGCTGTAATTTTTCTGACTATGTTACTAGATGGCGATGGGTCCGAACCTCAAGGAGGACTCATGGTTTTGCTACAGTAGAGTTATGAGGGGTACATTGACTAATCACTGGAGAGTAAGCAACTTCATCTGTATAGTCCTTAGCACTGGTGCTAACTGACTGCTATCAGTCACTTTGAAATGTGGCCATCAAAATAGAGAAAAACCCTGTTGTACTCCAAATTTTGAATTTTTATGATTCCTTTACGTTCCCAGTGGAACATAGGGCTTCAAGATATGGGCTTGAAGTTTTTGTAGCAGTAGTGATTACTTTTGTAGTATGCGGTTGCTAGCCTCATGCCCAACTTTCCCTCTTCACCAGTCTTATTACTGGCTTAGTGAGGTAAAGTAGTGCGTCGGCCGGTGATCGAAGCTCGGACTAATTGTGTGGTCGGCAAGCTCCTCACTGCTCAGCCAACCACACGTTTTGAAATAGGACACAAGGGCTCAAGTGGTCCTTTGGCATTGAAGATGCTTTTCTTGAATGGGTACAAATAATCACCATATCCATATTCAGGGTCTCCCTCCAGCTGCGCTCAAGCGTGTAGCTTCAGTTCAAGAAATGCGAATCACCAGTGAGCCCCTAGCTTTGTAGCTGTGTTCCGAACTCGTCTGAAAGAATTCCTTCAGCAAGAAGACCAAGGAACAACAACAAAAAAGCAGTAACTTTCCAATGGCTTGGCTTCATAAAAACAGTTATTGAGACTGTAGGGATTTTAAATATTACTTCCCTTCTTTTGAAGTAACAGTTACTCATGAATTATGTTTCTGTATCATTTGTCATCATCGAAAAAAATTTCAAGTTTCACTGCGAATTACGATAAGTTGGAAACCCATTGAAAACCAGAGTGTACTCGCAATTTGCCATACATAGCTGTCTTACGTTTCTTCAAACCTAAGTTGGCGATCCCTGAAGGTAACGATTTTCTTGAAAACTAACACCTGAAAACCAATCTAATGCTCACTACTGATTGACGACAAGGTGAACTTGAGTGAAGTTCTAATAGGATATTATGACCCTGATTTTGACTTAGAAATACTTCTTGAATTAAAAGCTATGATGATTTTGTATGTTTAAGTTCTAAAAACTTCTAAGCACCATTTTAGTAGGTGGGGTAATAATCGTAGATCTGCTAGAAACGACGACTTTCAACACAAACCAGTATAAACCAAAGACCATCTAAACCGATATTGCATCCTGTTTTTAAACTCTTTAAACTTTTGTATCCATAATGATTTCTTATTTGGTTGTCAGTACCCTCTAATCTCCTATCTGACGATGTTTAATTTCCACTTACATGATGCCAGACATTTGGAAAGTCTAGAATTCACCAGTGAAACACTGGAACTCATTGGCCAGTGAACAACAACAATGTCCGATAGTTGAGTCGAAGGAACACCACTAACAATAATTACACCCTTCACTTTTCTACGTATTATGATACAGTCTTTTCCAAGAAGTCTGGAAAAGAATAAGGTAGAATAATAAAGAACAATGGACAGAATACAGTGGGTTATAAGAGAAGTGGGTCAAGCCATTCCAGTAGGCTGTGCAAAAGTATAAAGGTATATATATGGTTTTTAAGAAATTATATATCATGAGGAAATTTAACCGGTTTGAATATAAAAATTACAGTGGTATAAAAAGCAATAAAAATGTTTATGATTATAATCATAGTTAAATATCAGGTTATGATACAAACCATGTAGTATACAGAATAGTGCATAGGATGCAAAGATGATGGAAGGCAGTCTCAACATCTTGGTGTAATAAGTTAAACGAACAAGTTTTTATAAATCAATTGATATATGTTTGCTCAGCCAAATCTGAACTAACCAAGAGCTCACCCAGTTTAACTCAACTATGACAGAAGTCATTCAGGCTAGCTATCTGAGCGAAGTATCAGTACACTTGATCGAATTTTATAGTTGATAAATTATTTAATGGGTAAGGAGTTTTCTTAGTTCAGTGTGAAGTTCGATTAAAATTTAAGTGTAGAACTTGGGCAATGTGTTAGAATGTAACTCCATATTACATCAGTTTATAATAATTATCACACACTGATGCAGTATTAACAACTGGATGAAGTTTCAAGCATAAATTTCTCCTCATAATCATATCAATACCAGTCACACAGTTTCACAATTTGTGTTGCATATATTTTCTCACCATTGTCTCTCCAACTTCTCTGTATTGTGTTTTTCCACATACCACATCTCCGGTATGGGATTGCCGTCATTCCAACTACGAGTGCGCGGTGTTGAGTCGATAAACAAAGCCTCAGTGATGAACCTCTCTCCCCACCTAACTATATTAATTTTCGATACTCTCACCCTGTCTCACAAACTCTATACGGTGATAACATGCAACTGAATCCAGTGCAATGGCTGAGCTTCTTTCTAGGTTGTTTAACATAGCAGGGTCCATCATTGTGGGTCTAGCTAAATTTTTATGTTCCAGTAATCTATTTGACACCGATCTACTAGTGCGACGTATGTAACTGACCTCACTCACAGTTATTACATGGTATTTAGTAAGCTATATTACTTTTCTTAATTGCATTTATTGGATCCCTGATCCAATAAAGTTTATCTCTGGAAGAGTTGGTCGTTTTAAATGCATTCCTAATTCCAGCTTCATTGAGAGTTTAACGTAAGGCCTCTGACATTCCTATTTTGTACGGCAGTACTACTCTTTTTTTCTTTTACCTTCCCAATGGAACAAAGGGCTACAAGCTAGAGCTTTGAAGTTTCGGTGATAGTGGTGCTTATTTTTATGGGAAAGGGTTGTTAGCCTTATGCCTAACCTTCCCAGTTTACCAGTCTTAATGCAGGTTGCGTAATATCCCATCACCCCTAGTGAATCTGGCATCAAAAGTCACGAGAACACCATCAGACCACATAGAACGTTGGGTGATACTACAGAGGCTTTGAATTATATGTATTTTTCGTCATCTTTGTTGCTAATGTTAGCTTTCTTGGTTCTTCGTATGCTTTTGAATAAATTCTAGCGGGTAGTTATTCACAAGTAAAATTTCCTTTATTTGTTGAACTTTATTATCTTGATCACCTGCCTTACTAGTAAGGCTTTTGATACGATTAGGTAGACATTTAAATAAACCTGATTCTACCGATTCTGGACAGGATGAATTGAAGTCTAAGTACTTTGCAATAAACTGTGAGTTTCCCAAAAATACTAGTATCTAACCCACCATCGTGTTTTCGTTTTATTCTACAGTCTAGCATGACTAACTCACCCTATATATTTTCAAACTCAGAAGATGGATGGACAGAAAGAGCGAAATTAGATATAAGCCAAATCGTGAAACCGTGCGACTGAAACTGATATGATTACGAGTGGCAATAATTTATGTTCGAAACCTTGTCATCCAGTTGCTGATACTGCATCATCACTGTTTGATACCATTAGCATAACTCACTGATCAGATTGAAGTCATCCATATATCTCTCGTCCATTAGTGTTAATCATGCGTACAGATTATTAAGAAACATCACTGTCATTCAAAACAAATTGAAAATATCACTGAGGATTCAAAGTATCTCCAAGCTGTTGAAACGATTCATTCTAAAATCCATGAAGCAGAACACCTCTTGATGGATTTTTATTTCTGCTAGCTTATAGACTCTATGAGTACTACAACATTTTGAATGACGGGGTAAACCATTTCCTTTTTGTTTCTAAAGAATCATACTTTTCACTTGACAGCAGCATGTTATACTTCACTCATCTTAGCTGTCAGGTTTCTCTATCATTTGTGCTTTTTGCCATATATATGCTCTGTCATATTAGAGAATCAGTATCACTTCGTTATTTTCAATCCTTCTTTCGTTTTTATTATTAGCATCATTTGAGTAAAGAGTGACAGTTTATTAACATTTACTTTACATTACTCAAATTTTAAACAACTTAAAATTCTTTCCCACTTGTTATAGTTTTGATGATAAAGGCAAATTTTCCTCTACCTTGTATACTGAAGCTAACATCTCTCAAAGTGTTGTTCTCTGTCCTTTTCTGTTCCTTTTCTTCTTACATGACTGACCTATTTCAGATGAAATCTACTTCGTTGAATATGCTGATGATCTGACTGTCTAGCTGCCAGTTACGTCCCTATCTGATTGTTCCAAACTAAATAGGATTTGTCGGACATCAAGCAGTGGTTCAGGCTAAAAGATCTCACGTTAATTCCTTCTAAATTTGAGACTATTAACTTCGCATTTAGACATAAAAGTGATCTGGAAGAACTGGTTCGTTCACATGATGTTTTCAGTATGGAGTGCACTGAAATAGAAACTAAGTCGAGGAAAAAATACCTTGAAATAGTTCTATCCTTTAATCTTAATTGGTCATCCCATATATTTTTCAATTTCTAAGATGTTTCGTCTAGTCTACTACATGAAGAATTTAAGACAATCAGAAACCACTCAGGCTCTACTTTTAAAACTTGTTAAATCTTACATCCTACCTGCTGTGTGCTTTAGAACTCACCCAGGATCTTCCCTGGCATACTCAAAAAGATGAACGTCACTCTGTTAAGGATATAAGAGGTTGTCAGTAGGCCAGGTGGTGTGTAACTCAGTCGACAGAAAACTGAACTCATGCGAGAAATAGCCTAAATCCATATAGTCTGACTGTCAACAACCCCTTTATTCTCAACTCTCCCGTTGTATCCCAACAGGCAGGACTAGAAATTATCACGAAAGAATAAATGTTCGTACAACCTTGTACAGAAAGTCAACGATGTCATAATTGGGCCT